TATTGAAGTTAGAGAATTTGAAGCCCAGAATTAAGTCCCATTGTTCACCAAGGAAGCATCAGCATAAAGTAGGTGTTTAACAAACAATAGTTGAATAAATAAATATGCTGCAGACCTAAGGATATTTCCAGAAATGCTCCTGAAAATGGTTGCAACTACTTAGTCATTACCAATCCAGCAACAATGTGAAAATCACAAAAGGCTAAAAAGGAGGCTTATACCCTGGCTAAAAACCCTGAAAGAGGTTTACAAGTTCAGGCAGCTTTAAGCAGTGCAAAGTTGGCTCCTTTATGACATAGGTTCTGGCTTCTAAAGGAAGTTAAATAGCCCATTACTTTAAAATGCCTCTGTCAAGTTGCTATGATGACCTTCACAAATTGTATCCAAGAATGTGCGGGAAGAGAGTCACCACTGAAAGCATTTAAAGCAACTCCAGTTGGCAGGTATCACATGTTATACCCAACAATGGTTCAAAATGCCAGTTCACAGGCACAAAGAAGGTGGCTAATGATCCAAGAAGCACTTGACCCAGAGGACATCTGAAGAGAAATGGTCATCATTTTTAGTGCTATTGTTAGTTTCTGATAACATCTGTGTTTTGGGCAGGGCCAAAGAATGAGATTAAGTAGGAAGTCATCAGAGAACAGAGGGAAAGAGAAAACAAGTTCCACAGCACTGAAGCAATTAGATGACAATGTGCTGTGATCCAATGGGCAATTCCAGCTCCTCTGTGGGGGTGTGGCTGGCAAGAAGAAATGGCTCCTGGGGGTGGGGAACAGGCTTTGAAATTCCATTCCCAGGCCATAGGACTCCACTGTCACCTACTTAAGGCATTTCCTCAGAGTCTAAGAGGCCCACTTTCAACTCTCATTTTCAAAACAGATCTTGAATTATAGGGACAATTTAAAGCCAGTGCTTTCATTAAAAATACATTGTAGATCTGAAAAGTCCCTGCAGGTTGTTTGTTTTTATATTATTCACTGAGGAATGTATGCATTTTTTTAGTTGAATGTTGTTGTTAGGTGCTGTGGAGTCTGATTCATAATGATCCCTGTATACAACAGAATGAAACACTGCACAGTCCTGAGCCAGCTTCACAATTGTTGCTATGCTTGATCTCATTGTTGCAGCCACAGTACCAATTCACCTTGTAGAGGATTAAATATAGTTATAGCCACTTTCTGAAACTTACGAGTTACTTTAAATAATAAAACACTAGCAATTAGCTGGATCCATCTTAACACTAATTTGTGAAATTTTAGTTTTCTGGTAATATGTGCATGTTTTAAATTCTTCCATAATTACATTGGTTCCGACTCACAGTGACCCTATATAGGGTATCTGAGGAGCGGCAAGTGAGTTTGAACTGACAACCTTAAGGTTCAAACCAACCTTGTGGCTCAAACTGAGCTTGTGGTCCAGTGCATACCATACTAAACAGGAAAAGGTAGAAATATTAACTGCTTTCCCTGCGCCGCCCCCTGCCCCCAGGTTACTGAACGGGACCAATCTTCCCCACCCAGGATACAGGCTAGAATGCTAATTAGGTTACCGAACCGGATCAATCTCCCTGGTTTCCCTCCTGTCCTCAAACAGGTCAGCACCCTAGCCCCTCCCAGACTCTGACCCCATATAAGCCTGTGATGCCCTCCATTCACTCAGAATCTGGAGAAATTAGCTCCTCTGAGTCAGCTGGCTTAATAAAATCTGAAACTCTGCTCCACTTCTCCAAGCGGCCTCGGTTTCTCCGAAGGATCAAGAGCTGCAGTGATGCTCTGGAATCTTAAATGGCTGTAACACTACAGCACACACCAGGAGGTGTGTGCTGTCCTGTGATGGCCAGCTTTAATAAATAATAGGAGCACAGCAAAACACACAACTTCTCACCAAGGTGACATTCAAATTTTATTTTTTCCTACAAGAGGAAAATGAAACTATACCTTGGCCCAGGCTCCAGGGTCGCTCTTGGGGTGCCCCTCCACCCCTCCACACACCATCCCCAAAGTCTCATAAAGGCTCTTTATGGCCGGTGGGTGTAAAGCTATGCACATAAGAAATGTATTCTCTTGTTCCAAGTGTATTGTTTTCTCTTCCAGCATTTGATCACTGACTGATGAACTGCTAGGGCCCACTGAGATCTCCAGACCATCAGCTCATGTATTTGAAAGGCATCTGTTTATTTTGAAAATGCAAATGTGGCCTACCTCAAAGACTGACAGGCAAGAAATGACCCACAGAGCCAAGGAGAGGTTTCCAATCTGGAGTCCTGCCCCTCCCTCTACCTCACCCAGATCGCTGCTGTCAAAAGCATTTAAACTAGCTCCCAGAATTGGAATGAAGGGCCCACAATTACAATGAGCAGGCTCATCTCTCAAGAATTAGCCAGGCAAATCATTTCGCTGGCTGTTTAAAGCACCGATAAGGTCATTTACAAAAGGGCTCGAGTGAGCCTTTGAAATGGTGGCTCCTAGATTGAGGGCTGCCTGGAGGAGGGTCCTATAACCCAGACCCTGGGCTCCTAGGTGGTCACCCAGTTCGCTTAAGAGGAGAAAGCCCGGGAAGGTTAATACCCTGACTTTGATCTCTGTCAAGGCATACCAGCAAGAATTAATTTACATTTCAGATGAAAAAGGTTGACAGCATGAAAAGGCGTCTTGTTTCTGGTATGTGAGTGTGCCGTAATAGATCGGGAATTCTGAAAGGAAGTTCTGAGGACGCTAAAGGGATAAGCCCCATGGCTGCTTTTATTGGGAAGGAGATGAAAGGAAAACAAATTTCAATATGCGTGGCTCTGCAGCAACATGTAGGCCAAATGCTTCCTAAATTTCAAGGGCTGCTCTTTTAAAAATATGTAACATAGCAGCACCATTTTAAAAATAAAAGTGTGTGTGTGTGGGGAGGGGGGGGATGAATATGGGCCAGAGCTGGAAATACAAATGAAATCATCGACAGAATCTAAATTTCATATGAAAAGACTTCTTCAAAAAATAATGAATCAGATAATAATCTTAGGAAAGAAACAGAAGTGGTTTGCTAAAATAATATCCCTTAGCTACTTCCTGTAAACTTCAAAAAGTCACCAACTGCTGTGTATAGGGACCTTGTTTGACTCTAAAATGTCCTAGCAGCCCAAAGTGATCTTGTAAGAGGAGTATGCTATGGGAAGAAAATAACCCCAAACACAAAAGTCAGAACGAGGTGCTAGGTTTAAAACTTTCTCAAGTCAAAGTAAATTGCCCATAAAACTGCAAATACTGCTAGCCTAGCCATACTTGTTTACTGTAACACCAAACCAGCCACAATTCTTGTCCTTGGTGTTAGCTGAAGAGCAGAGACTCCGTCTGCTTTTGCTCTGGCCACCACACTCCTAAAGGGGCAGAGGTGATGTTGTTAGTACCACCCTCCATGTTTTCTTGTTCACCGAGACAGCTGCAGATGAGGTGAGTGGAAATTTCCGTAGTCACTGGAGGTGGGAACACTGACTGTTAGGCTAAGAAAGGGGGGCTTCTTGCAAAGCAATGAAAAGACGGCTTAAAGAAATGTGTCCTCTCTGGTTCCACTAAAACAGAATGGTGCTTCCATGGTACCTACCTTGTTGACGGTCCTAAGACCATGGCAATGAAGCCTCTATTTTTACGTCACTTGTCAATAACAGAGTGCAAACAGGAAAATTTATAGGATGATTTTCATTTGGGGAAAAGTTGATTTCTGATTTCTGTATAATGTTTCAGTAAATCATCAATGTATAAACTCAAATTTTATATTTTAAAGGACATGTTGGGCTTTGGGCCAAACAGCAAGATCAGCAATCAACCCAGCATCTCCTGATCGCACGTGTGTGTGTGTGTGTGTGTGTGTGTGTGTGTGTGTGTGTGTGTGTGTTGGGAGGCTGGCAGTCTGAAACAAATGCACTCTGAGTTGCCTTTCTTATGCTTGCAACAAGAATTGCATGGCTCATCCTCAAGCTTTGAAGTTGTAGAGCTTAGAATTCTTAGGGGATGGTGTTAAAAGTTAACATTTGCATTTAAATGACATCCTTTCCTCCCAAATATTTTGGTTTTGAATGAAGATTTCAGGCCTTTTAAAGTGGCCTAACAGAGTTAAGAGAAATGTCCCTGGAGCTGGGTTCTGGAGTGGGACCTCCTTTACAGGTTGCAGCTGTTTTATTTAAAAGTTTGCTTCCATCTCCCAGCTTGGCACTATCTGAAATCCTATCCCTGTCCCTGCTGTGAATCCACTGCACTGGTCACTTCTCTCTCATTCCATCTCCAATTTCCTACACTCCTGGAGCTCCTGGCATGTTCTGGCCTCTGTTTCTTCCAAAGTATCAATTAGGCATTTGCAATCTCAAATGAAGACAGGAGCCCCGCCTGGCAGTCACTGTGAGCACTGCCATTTGCAGGAGATCAGAGAGCCAAGGAACTATGGAGGAGCCAGTAACCAGAGCCCTCAGATCTTAGGCCACCTCCTTCAAGCTGTCAAAAGATCTACCAATTGCTCACCCTGTGGGGCCCAGAGGATCATATTGGCCATGTACAGGCCAGAGTTTGGGAAACTCAGTTGACTGGGAAAATTCCCAAGCTATTCCTACCTCCGTGATAGTGAAGAACAGGCATTGCATATTACCAGAATATTCCAGGGCTGGAAGGTACTTTCCAGGCAATGTTTTAGCCAGTGTCTTTATTTCACAGATAAGGAAAGTGTGACTCCAAGAGGGAAAAAGATATGTTCAGCTGGCAGTGTTCAAAGTTAGTGCTATATCCAAACCACCTGCTCTGCAACCAGCTAGCTGTATGACCCTGGGCAAGTCTCTGCCTCGATTCCATCCTCTATAAGAGCACCTATTCAGAGTATTCTTAGCATATGCTTAGCAATATGCACCAATTTCTTGATTCATATTCCAGTGCTCCTGAATGATTATCCTGTCTACTTTTCTAAGCTCACATGAACTTAATCAGAATATTTTCAAATAGACACTGGGAAAATCATGTTTTAATTACCTGCTTGAATATGAATAGCAGACTCAGTCCTTCTGTTGCTTATTTTCTTGAATTTCCTCCGAGCATCATATCCTCTCCAGGCTAAAAATATAAAACCATGTGCTAGGAATGACATTAATTTAAGAACGTGCCAGAGAATTGATATAAGCTGTTTTTCCTCCAATCTATTACCCTTCTTCTCCTCCCTCTGCCTTTCTCACTGAACAAAATCAGCTGAGAGATGTGAGTTATGGTAGGGAAGTGGGTCCCTGTGTCCTCCCAATTTAACCTCCCCACGAAGATGTTTTTAAGAGAGGCTCTTTTGGTTCTGCAGTGAGCACCCGAGGACATTTGGGATTCCACTTAGGATCCCAGGTAAGGTGATTCTTTGTCATCCAAACCCCTGCAAAGCTTTCTTCAGGACTTGGGAGCAGGGAGTTGGGGACATGACAGGAAGGAACTAGGATAGCCTGACCTTTAGATTTGAGAGAAGTATAAACATGATGAAAGTTGAAGGTAAGAGGGAAAAAACAGAGAAGGCTGTAAAGGAAAATAATGAGTAGCCCAACTTTATAATTTGCTGAAAGTGAACCATAAGCCAAGAAACTGTCCTAAGGGAAGGGAAATTGTGTGATGTAAAGGGAAGACTGGTGAAGAGAAGCAGAAGAGAAACTGGAAGGGGGTTTCCGGGGCTGTGTTGAGGCGTTTTGATACAGAACTAGGGGATAAAGTCACTGCTTTAGAGCATGAAAGTCTCCCCTTTTTGCTCCTCTACCTTTGCCCTGAAGGAGCTCTGGTAGCATAGTGGTTACGAATCGGGCTACAAACTGCAAGGTCAGCAGTTCAAAACTACCAGCTGTTCCGCGGGAGAAAGATGAGGATTTCTGCTCCCATAAATATTTACAGCCTCAGAAACCTTGTACAGGGTCGCTATGACTCGGAACTGACTCCACAGCACACAAGAACAAGAAACCTTTGCCCCGAGTACCACTGTTCTCCAAGTCACTACATGTGGTTGTGAAGTCCTGAGTGGATTAAGGTACCTCTGATGGTGGGTTATGAAAGCACAGAGGACTGTGAAAACACAGAGCTGTGTTCCAGATCTGGATCTTTCACAACCACATACGAGTAGTACAAGTCACCTTGGTGGCACTGTGAGTTAGGCACTGGGCAATTCAAATCCACCAGCAGCTCTGCAGGAGAAAGATGAGACTGTATTGCTCTGATAAAGATTTACAGTCTCAGAAACCCTACATAATTTCTATAAGTTGAAATTAACTCAATGGCAGTGGGGTTTTATCAAACAAATACTTTATCACATGTTCTCAGACATTGTTTGTACTGCAAATGACAAATACCTGTGTAAAAAGAGACACTGGTGGGACTGGGCATGTGAAAGAACCTAGCCATTTATTCCCTTAGTTTGCAAGCATCGTGGGTGTCAGTAAAGCCTCCTAAAAATGACATTAGGAATTCTAATGCTGAACACTTGGTAAATGGACCTGAAATGTATATTAAGCCACTTTCTGGGAGATGGGTCACGTGTCTGTGTGATTTGAATTTTATATCGCTCACTGCCTCGATTTTGCTCCTGGTCATCGTGTATTATAATGGCTTGTTGGTTTATCTGAGAGGTCAGGGACCACCTAGCACAGGACCTGGCCTACAGTAGACACTTACACATATTTGCCAGAGAAAGAAAAGGAAATACCATGGAGTTGAGCCTCCAGCATGTAAGGGTTTGAAATGTCAAGATTCAGGACAAGATTACAGGAAACTGGCAAATTTACCTGACTGGATGGCAATGGCCCCCTTTTCTCTCTTCTCTCTGATTCTTTTGTGTCTCCTGGCTGCAAGCCACCCCTTGGTATATGCCTGCAGCACAACCACTCTGCCTATGACTTGTCGCAGTAACAAGTTTAACTGCTCGATGTGGTAGTACTTGAGAAAAACCTGAGAGAAGATATTAAATGTAGCATTACATACCAGCTCCCAAACAAACATTCACTCTACTTCATCATGTTTATGTTTACATAAACATAATGTTTATGTTATAAACATTAAAATCATTACTCAAGGATAACTTAAAGTGAAAAGACAACGATTGGGCTTGTGCTGATACTACTGACTTCTTGGGGGCAAACTCAAGTCCCCTTTGAGGGCTGAGCATATCCTAGATTACTGATGTAAACAGATGATGACATTAGCAGGGTTCTAGGAAATACACCTTAGACCTGTGTTGTAATATCACCATCAAGAGTTCCATTTTCTCAGCTTGATCTCTACTTGTCTCTCCTCAGCCTGTGGTGGAGCTACTAAACAACCACACTGACCCAAGGCCAGCAGTGGGAGACAGGGGGGAGAGGGGCCTGACAAACTTTAGGGATCTAATTTCTGCTGAGGAGCAGCATACCCCATGCTGGCCACCACCTCTCAGGCTTTGTAGGACAATTCAGGATGGACTATTAAGCCGTGATTTCCTGCAGGGACATGATGGTCTCCTACATGATGAGACTAGGTATCAGGGAACGTAGTAAATAATGCAACACGAGGCTAATAACAAATGGACACAACTCTAAAAAGCAAAACTCTTCATCGTCACTAATATGATTTGTGTGTTTACATGTGCTTTAAAAAAAAAAAAAAAAAAAGGACATTTAAAAATGAGTTTCAATATCATGTAAATGATTAAAAGGTTCTCCAACTACATACAGAACAAGAAGCAAATCCCCGCCTCTTCATCCTGCAGGCCGGGGACTCCTGACCCAAGACCAACAAAGCACATTGTTAGATTGGGATTTTGTCTGCTAAGCTACATAATGTACAAAGCCACTGATACTAGGACAGGAGACAAAGACACACAGAGGAGAATCACAGGAGAAAAACTGAACAAGAAAGAAAACAATACCTTAGTTTTACCCAGTACCCAGTGATCTAATCTGGACTTTTCCAAGATGGCAATACAGCTCTCTTTGTTAGCAAGTGGTATCTGATGTGCTCTGAACGCCAAGTAATAATACCTACAAAATAAAAGAGGAAAGTTAGCAATTTTAGTCATCATTTGATTTGCTATAGTAGAATTCCTCTGGACCCACTGATACAACTGGATTTTTTAACAGTAAATATCTCTTGACCACCAAGAATATTGTTGTTGTTTAACACTGTCGAGTTAGTTCTGACTCATAGCAGACCCTGTATAGGGTTTCTAAGTAGTGCCTGGTGGGTTTGAACCACAGACCATGTAGTTAGCAGTCCAGTGCTTATTCTAGAGAGTTACACTAGCATGTGAAAAATACACACTTTATACTTATTAAATTGACTTTGAGCTGCTTCCATAATTTCTGCTATACATATTTCCTTTTTAATATTACTTTGTAACTCATACTCAAAGCATCCTCGGTGTCTTTTGCATGCAAAATCAAAGTATCTAGTTCTTTTAGAAAGCTAAAATTGTGACAGCTTTCTGATTGAAAGTCATGATTGTAAAATTCCAGTACTATTACAAAAAAAATATTTTGTGAGAGAACAAACAAGATGGCAGAACGGGTGGACGTGCAGTAAAGGAGCTCCGCCAACAACAACACAGAATACCAGACCAAGCAGGCTCAGGGGATGGTCCCAGAACTCTGAACCACATATAAAGGAATATTTAGAAGGTTGGAAGTCTTACAGCTGGGAGAATTTGTAGCAGAAGCAAGAAATCTATTGCTTTCTAGTACGGGATGCTCGGCTGCTCCAGGAGCCGCCATCTTGGGTGAAACCACACGGAGGAAGGATTGGAGCAGCCACAGATGCCTGGCAGAACTGCTGAGATAAATGTATGGACATTCATCTCTTTTGGTAGGTGTTCATTGGTCCCTTGCTGTCTGTGCACCTCCATTCTGGTGACTATAGGGGTGCCTGAGCTAGTGGGCATGCCAGCCACACCCTCAGAGGGTTCTACTATGCATGCTCACAGATCTCCTTGAAATTTAAAGAGACACTTTCCAATTAAAACCAAACTGCCACAGCCGGCCCTGAACTGTTTCCTACTAGAAAAAAGGCCTGAATGGGGATTGTGGAGTGGGACAAGCAGACAAAAGAGGAAATAGGCTGAAAATTAAATCCTAAGTTACGTCAAAACGACCAACAGTGGTATCATGAAACTTCTCAGGAAGAAGAGTGAAAAAGGGAAGCCCATTTCCTGATCACATCTACCTGGAGGCATTCAGAAAGCATT